CTACTGCTGCTGAGAGTGCTGGTGCCGAGGGTCCCAGAGGTGCTCGTACCGAGTGTACTGGAGCTGCTGGGCCTACGGGTGCTCCTCCTACTGGAGCTGGTGGTGCTGCTGGCGTTGGTGCTGCTGGTGCTCCTGGAGCTGGAGCTGCTGCGTCTTCGGGTGGTCCGACTGGAGCTGGAGCTACTGGGGGTGTTGGCGCTGGAGGTGCTGCTGGCGCTGGTGCTGCTGAGGGTGCTGGAGTTGGTGCTCCTGGAGCTGGGGGCACTCCTGGTACTGGTGCGCCCGTCGGGGGGTGCTGGTGCTGTTCCTGCTGGCACTGGTGGAGCTGCGCGGCCACGGCCGTACTTCGTTCCGCTCCTTGAGCAGGTTCTTGGTCTTCCGTCCTCTCTTGGTCCTGCTCCTCCCTTAGCGTGTCCGCCTCCTGTCCAGTCCGAGTCGCAGTTACCGCCGGCCTCCCCGCTTCCTTCTCCTTCTCCCTACACTGGTCCTACTGGAGGTCTTGCTGAGCGTCGTGAGCCTGCGTCTCGCCCTGCGTCACCTGTCCGCGCTGCTCGCACTAGTGGTCGTGGTTCACGTCAGCGTCCTCCCCCTGTCCCCGGCACGCACCGGATGTCTCTGCGTCCTTCCACTGCTCCACTGCGTGCCCCTTTGCCTTCTCCTCCAGCGTCCTCTCTTCCTGACCTTCCTGACCCTGAGTCGGACTCCCTTCGTGCTGCGCGTCCTACTGTCACACGTCTCCTTGCTACTGTCGTCACTGACCCTTCCTTTGAGTCTACTGCTGCGTCTGCCCTCGTTGCTGAGCTTGTCGACTTCGCTGCTCGCTGTCGCCTTGACTACGCTGCCAGTCTCGTCGCTGAGTCTGAGTCTGTCTGTCCTCCGTCCGTCGGGGGTGAGTGTGCTCTTGGCACGGACGTCCTTGAGGACAGGCAGGAGGAGTTCCAGTGCTTGGCTGCTGCTTCACCTCATCTCGTGTCCATGCTGCTTGCCCCTGAGGGAGACCCGGATGCACTTGACATCCCGACTCCGCGCTCTTACGCGGAGGCGATAGAGGGTCCCTACTCCTCTCAGTGGCAGGCAGCTATGGACGCAGAGATGGCTTCCTCGAAGTCCACAGGCACCTACGTTGACGAGGTTCCCCCGCCTGGGGCGAACATCGTCAGTGGCATGTGGATTTTCAGGGTGAAGCGGCCGCCGGGTTCTCCGCCTGTCTTCAAGGCGCGTTACGTGGCTCGTGGCTTCAGTCAGCGGCAGGGAGTTGACTACTTTCAGACCTTCTCTCCCACCCCGAAGATGACCACTCTTCGGGTACTGCTGCACATAGCCGCTCACCGAGACTACGAGCTGCACTCTCTTGACTTCAGCACTGCTTTCTTGCAGGGCAGCCTGCACGAGGAGATCTGGCTGCGCTGCCCACCTGGCTTCACTGGGACTTTTCCTCCTGGCACCCAGTGGAGCCTCCGGCGGCCAGTCTACGGTCTCCGCCAGGCGCCTCGTGAGTGGCACGACACACTGAGGACTACACTTGCGGCTCTTGGGTTTGCTCCTTCTACTGCCGACCCGTCGCTGTTTCTGCGCACCGACTCTTCCTTGCCGCCGTTCTACATCCTCGTGTACGTCGACGACTTGGTCTTTGCTACAGCTGACACTGCTGGACTTGCCTACGTGAAGTCCGAGCTGCAGAAGAGATACACGTGCACAGACCTGGGTGAACTGCGCAGCTACCTTGGCTTGCAGATCACCCGGGACAGAGCACAGCGCACCATTACCCTAACTCAGTCACACATGGTGCAGCAGGTCCTTCAGCGCTTCGGCTTCACGTACTCCTCGCCTCAGGCCACTCCTCTGGCTACACGCCACTCGCTCTCAGCTCTGCCTTCGGATGAGTCCGTAGAGTCGAGTGGCCCGTACCCAGAGCTTGTCGGCTGCCTCATGTACCTGATGACCTGCACTCGACCTGACCTTGCATACCCTCTTAGCATTCTGGCACGCTATGTTGCTCCTGGGAGACACAGACCAGAGCACATGGCTGCAGCGAAGAGGGTGTTGCGCTACTTGTGCAGTACGTCGGGCATGGGGCTTGTGCTTGGAGGGCAGAGTTCAGTGGTCCTCACTGGTCACGCAGACGCTTCTTGGGCTGACGACCAGGCTACGCAGCGGTCGTCACAGGGTTACACCTTCAGCCTTGGCTCCGGCTCTGTTTCGTGGCGGTCTACCCGCTCGTCTTCTGTTCTCGGCTCCAGCTGTGAGGCTGAGATCTACGCAGGGGCCATGGCTGCACAGGAGTTACGCTGGCTCACCTACCTGCTGACTGACCTGGGAGAGCCGCCTCGTTCTCCTCCAGTGCTGTACGTAGACAACAAGGCCATGCTGGCCTTGTGTCGGGAGCACAGACTGGAGCACAGAACGAAGCACATCGCTCTCCGCTACTTCCTTGCTCGTGAGCTGCAGCAGCGTGGTCAGCTGCGCCTTGCTTACGTGGCCTCTGAGGCCAACACTGCTGATATCTTCACCAAGGCACTCGCGCCTTGTGATCATCAGCGCTTCTGTACTCTGTTAGGTCTTGTGCCTACCTTGCCTCACTTGCTTACTTCTTGACCTTGTTTGTACTGTTACATATATATACCTCTCCGTGCTTGTTTAGGGTTATATATATGTGTACCCTTGCATGTGAACTGGCCTTGTGGCCTTGAACTTGTGCTCAGACAGTGTGGTGACGTTGTGATCCACCCTGAGCTTGCTTTGCCTTGCTTTGCTTGACTGGTCTTGTGACCCCTTGTTCTCCCCCACTTTGCCTATGGGGGTGTGTCAAACTCATACACTATAGTCTGTGTAGGCTGTAGTGGGGTAGCTCATATGGGGTACAACATTCTAGGGTTTGGTACTTGTACTCCTCATGCTGCTCAATGCAATCATTCCTCGTTCTAGTCTTCACACTAACATCATCTGACACCATTTCTATGTTCGACAACAATTTGTGAAGTGACATCCGTCATGGTTACACGACCAACGACCATCGTTTAATCAATTTGCCTTCACTCACCTCTTCACCGACACTCGTATTGCTCCTTATTTCACGGCCAGAGGGTTTCAGGATGCGCTAATCCAACTCTACATGCGACAAAACGAAACTCGCCTCCGCCCACGAAAACAGCATTTATTTCTCTCCCGGCTGTTGAAGACATCACCGAAAAAAATGGCGGAGTAAAAGATGTCTGTTGAAGCACTTGACATTTTTCGACAAGGTTACTGGTCTACTACTTTTGGTTCGCCTTTGACGATTTTATGGGCACATAATACATGGTTTTCATCATCGACTTCCACACCGACGCTTTTTAGCCTTGACGTCTACGCTAAATGTTAGGATAGGAAAGCAGGAATGGGTGATGAAATTAGGTCATCAGGGGAGTACAAGTACAATGTCGATAGCAATCTTGTACCCCCTAAGGCTAAATCCACTGCAACCCAAGTAAACATTAACACATATGTTTTGACACACCCCCATAGGCAAAGTGGGGGATAGCAAACACAACCAACGGTCACAAGACCAGTCAAGCGAAGAAGCAAAGCAAAGCTCAGGGTGGATCTCAAGATCACCACGCATTCTGAGCACAAGCAAGCGGCCACAAGGCCAGTTCACATGCATAGTTATAAAAGCACAAGCAGTACAGTGATCACAACCTAGCAAGAGCAAGCATGCAAGTATATATATATAGAGATCACAGTACAAGACAAGTCAAGCAACCAGCAGGTGAGGCAGAGTAGGCACAAGGCCTAAAGCAGTACAGAAACGCTGATGATCACCAGGCACAAGAGCCTTGGTGAAGACATCAGCAGTGTTGGCCCGAGAGGCCACGTAGGTAAGGCGGAGCTGACCACGCTGCTGCAACTCCTGAGCAAGAAAGTAACGTAGAGAAATGTGCTTCATTCTGTGCTCCAGTCTCTGCTCCCGACACAAGGCAATGGTGGCCTTGTTGTCGACGTACAGAACTGGAGGAGAACGAGGCCGCTCACCCAAGTCTGTCAGCAGGTAGGTCAGCCAGCGTAACTCCTGAGCAACCATAGTCCCAGCGTAGATCTCGGCCTTATAGTTGGAACGAAGTACAGAAGACGAGCGGGTGGACCTACAGGAGACATAACCAGTGCCAAGGCTGAAAGTGTAATCCTATGACGAACGCTGGGTCACCTGGTCGTCAGCCCAAGAAGCGTCGGAGTGATCCGTGATTTCAACTGGACCCCGTCCTCCAAGCACAAGCCCCATGCCTGATGTACTGCACAAGTAACGAAGTACTCTCCGCGCAGCTGACCAGTGCTCCTTCCTATGTCTCCCGAGTGCAACGAAGCGAGCAAGGATGCTGAGAGGGTACGCGAGGTCAGGTCGTGTGCACGTCATCAGGTACATGAGGCAGCCAACAAGCTCTGGATACGGGCCACTCGACTCTACGGACTCGTCCGGAGGTGGAGCTGAGAGCGAGTGGCTCGTAGGCAGAGGAGTGGGCTGTGGCGAGGAGAATTAAAAGCCGAAGCGCTGAAGGACCTGCTGCACCATCTGTGACTGCATCAGAGTGACGGTGTGCCGTGCTCTGTCCCGAGTGATCTGCAAGCCAAGATAGCTGCGCAGCTCACCCAGGTCAGTGCAAGTGTGTCTCTTCTGCAGCTCCGACTTTCACAGGGGCCAGCGCCTCAGTGTCAGCAGTAGCAAAAACCAAGTCGTCGACGTACACGAGGATGTAGAACGACGACAGAGAAGGGTTGGTCCGCACAAACAGCGACGGCTCTGCAGTCGAAGGAGCAAACCCAAGAGCCGCAAGTGTAGTCCTCAGTGTGTCATGCCACTCACGGGGCGCCTGGCGGAGACCGTAGACTGGCCGCCGGAGGCTCCACTGGGTACCCTCAGGAAACGACCGTGTGAAACCAGGTGGGCGGCACAGCCAAATCTCCTCGGGGAGACTGCCCTGCAAGAAAGCTGTGCTGAAGTGAAACGAGTGGAGCTCGTAGTCACGCTATGCTTCAACGTGCAATAACACCCGAAGAGTGGTCATCTTCGGGGTGGGGGAGAAGTTCTGGAAGAAGTCGACCCCCTGTCGCTGACTAAAGCCTCGTGCAACGTAACGCGCCTTGAAGGCAGGCGGAGAACCCGGCGGCCGCTTCACCCAGAAGATCCACATGCCATCGATTATGTTCGTCCCAAGAGGGGGAACCTCATCGACGTAAGTGCCTGTGGACTTCCAGGAAGCCATCTCCGCGTCCATGGCTATTTGCCACTGAGAGGAGTACTCATCCGCGATCGCCTCTGCGTAAGAGCGCGGGGTAGGGATGTCTAGTGCATTCGGCTTTCCCTCAGGGCAAAGCAGCATGGAAGCGAGATGAGGTACAGCAGCCGCAAGACACTCGAGCTCAAACTGCCTGTCCTCAAGGACGTCACTGCCAAGGGCAAGCTCACCCCCGACGGACGGAGGACAGTCAGACTCAGTGACAAGACTCGCGACGTAGTCGAGACGAGAGGTAGCAGCAAAGTCGACTAGCTCAGTGACTAGGGCAAACGCAGCAGTAGACTCAAAGGAAGGGTCAGTGACAACAGTAGCGAGGAGACGAGTGACAGTAGGACTAGCAGCACGAGCAAGGTCAGACTCAGGGTCAGGAACGTCAGGAAGAGAGGACACTAGAGGAGATGGCAGAGCAACACGCTGTGGAACAGAGGAAGGATGAAGTGCCATAGTGTGCGTGTCGGGGACAGGTGGAGGATGAGGACGACGAGCACGACGGACAGTGCGAACAGGGGAGGCAGGACGAGACGCAGGCTCACGATGCTCTGCCAGGGAGCCTGTCTGTGCAGGGTAAGGAGACGGAGCCGGCAGTGGAGAGCCAGGCAGTAACTGCGGCAATGACTAGTCAGGAGGAGGACACAGGAGAGGCGGAGTAAGGCTAGTGGAAGACGGAAGACTAAGAACCTGACGAAGTGCCGAGCCAGGCGGTGGTAACGACGAGTGCGGCTGCGGGTAGAAAAATGGTCGGCGCGGCGCAGTACTCGTACCGTCAGCAGCTCCAGCACCTCCAGCACCAGCAGCTCCAGCACCTCCAGTACCTCCAGCTCCAGCACCTCCAGTACCTACAGCTCTAGCACCTCCAGCACCAGCAGCTCCAGTACCTCCAGCACCTCCAGCTCTAGCATCTCCAGTACCAGCAGCTCCAGCACCTCCAGCACATGCAGCTCCAGTTCCTCCAGCACCAGCAGCTCTAGTACCTCCAGTACTTCCAACTCTAGCACCTCCAACACCAGCAGCTCTCGTACCTCCAGTACCTCCAACTCTAGCACCTCTAGCACCAGTAGCTCCACTACCTCCAGCACCTCTAGCACCTCCAGCTCTAGCACCTCTAGCACCAGCAGCTCCAGCACCTCCAGCTCCAGCACCTCCAGCACCAGCAGCCCCAAAACCTCCAGCACTAGCAGCTCTAGTAACTCCAGCACCTCCAGCTCTAGCACCTCCAACTCGAGTACGGCTAGCTCCACCACCAGGGCTGCCCTACCGAAAAGCTCACTCGCGAAGCCGCTCGGGCGAGAGAGTCTCCTGCCAACAAGCACCAGTACCGCTAGTACTAGCCTCTCCAGCACTAGGACCTCCAGCAACTCCAACTCCAGTACCACCAGCACCAGCACCTCCAGCACCTCCAACTGCAGCACCTCCAGCTCCTCCTGTATCCGTAGGACACTCAGCACCCCCAGAACCAGCACCCCCAGAGTCCGCACCCCCAGTGTCACCACCTCCAGCAGCACCAGAGTCCACAGCGACTGGCTGCAGAGGCGGTGAAGACGGCCGAGGCGGAAAATCAGGAGGGGCCGCCAAGCGCGCTGAGCGGCGAGGGGCCACAGTGTCGGCATCAGTCGGATCACCCCCCTCAGCTGGGCCAGAAGTGTCAGAGGAGACCTCCAAAGGCTCAACCAAGGGGGGTGGGTCTACCTGAGACACACCTGAGGGAGCAGGACCTTGTGGGGGGAGAGGGGCTACCGGGGGGTGGTCGAGTACCAGGAAGAGAGGCGGGAGGGGTACGAGGGAACTGCGGTGGGGGTGGAGACGGTAGAAATAGACAGACTCGTCAAAGGTGACGTCCTGAGAGGACAGAGAACCCGGGTGGTAAAACTGCCAGGGCGGGGCGTCGGTAGGGAAGCCAAGGAAGACGCAGCGAAGAGTGCGAGGAGAAAACTTGCCCGCAGGAAGATCGCGGACAAGAGCAAGGGAACCCCAGACCCGAAACACCGACGCATCACTAACCTCTCCTGTCCACCGCATTTAGAAAGCTTGCTTTCTAATAATTATCATTTGGCATCGTTCTCATTTCAACTGGGGCATCGTTCTCATTTCAACTGGCAAATTACAACATGCACCTCGAGCTAGACAATATAAGCGCTAGTACATGTCCTGATACTTCCTATCAATCATTCGTCAAGCTATCAATCCTAATAGGTGTGCGCTAACCCACATTGTACCACTTGTGTCCTCCTGTGGTAAGCGGCGGCCTTGATGTCCATCGGTGTTGGGCGGGGGGTGGGAGAGTTGCATGAGCCGTTTGAAAAATGAGAGACGTGGGTGGAGGGAAATGAACTCCAACCCACGATTTGTAGTTGGAGATGGGCGTTTAGCGCGCTTCGACGATGCCAAATTCCCGTTACAGTCAGCTGCGCTTTCGAAATACATAATTTCAAAAAACACTATGTGTGTTTAAAAATTATCATATTTAGAAAGCTTGCTTTCTAATAATTATCATTTGGCATCGTTCTCATTTCAACTGGGGTCTCTGAGACATGGGCAGCGGGGGTTTTCGATGACGGACGAGTGCCTCTGCGTGCTGTGCTGAAGAAGGGGCGTAGGCCAGATCTTGCAGCTGGCGGGAGGCGCTGATGAGATGTTCGGCGTTGGGCGTGACGTACATCTCCTTCGCTGTATCGCTGCGCCATCTGCCCAGTCGTTTGAAGATTCTGTCCGGCACGCCGGTGTTCGCCGCAGCAGTGGCTGCTCCTTTGCGAAAGGAGTGAGTGCCCAGCTGCTGTTCCCCTAGTCCGATCTTCCCAAAGGCTTCTTTGCACCAGTTCCGGATCGTCGGGTAGGACGGCGACCTTGCTTGGCCTTGTAGTGAGCCACGTCCAAAGATGCGAATCAGCGGCCCTGCGGACTGTCGGTCGTATCCCGCGAGTTGGATGAGCCGTCGGGTGCAGCGGACAGGGCAGAAGGGATCATGAGTTGCGGCGATGGGTATCCATGTGCCCCTTCCAGCTTGGTCCGTCTTGGAGTACGGGATTAGGATCCACATGACCTCACTGTCGAACTGGATGTCTTGCCACTCGATGGCAATGAGGTCCGAGTATCTTAGGAATCCAGTGTACATGAGGATAGGGATTAGCCCCTTTTGGAACTCCCCGGGGTTGTCGGACTGCAGGTAGCTCGCAGACATGTCGTGGACCTGTTGCAGCGAGACAGGCTCCTTCACTCGTGTGGGGCGAGGACAGTGTCGTTTCGCGAAGTCGCGTACTTGAGTGGTGAATGGGCCGGTCGTTGGGCATGTGCTCCCAGTCATGCGGTGTGCAAAGCTCACCGCTGAGCATGTAAGTTGTACCATGGGCAGTGTGGCTCTGTGTTGGATAGCGTACACCAGGTACAGCGCGAGGGTCATGTCCGACGTGGGAAGGAATGGGAGGTTGACCTTTGCACAAAATGCTCGAAACTTGACCCAGTATGGCTCGTATGTTCGGATCGTTGAATCGGCCCGAGACTGTGAGAGCATCTTTAATAGTTGGACTTGTAGCTTCGGTAATACGTCTGCGCGAAGGCGTGCAGGTTGGGTTAGTCGAAGACCACTCGTAGTGCAATGATTGTGCTATGAGGCAGTCCTATGCCTGAAAAGGCAGTGCGGTGCGTTCCTACTGCTAGGCATTGGCTGCCGTGCGTTATGGGAATGTGCGCTCGGACGTGCGGGGCCCAGCTAGGTGGGGAGGGTTGTAGCAGTGGCCACCAGTTTGCCCCCGTCCAGTGGGGGACGATTAGGGTGAATGATCCGTTGGTGCGTTGTGCGTGGCGGATGACTGCCGGGATCAGTTGGGGTGGTGGGAACGCGAAGCCATTCTCGTTTGTCCACGAGCATGAAAATGCATCAACCACGGTAGCCTTGGGGTGTGGGATCTTCGAACAGAATCGTGGTAGCTGCGTGTTGTGATGGTTGGCGAAGAGGTCGATTGAATGCGGTCCCCAACGGCGATCAAGGATCCGGAACCATGGTTGCTTCAAAGAGTAATCATCCTGGTCGATCAGCTTTGACAGCTCGTCAGCATGGGAGTTAAGCTCTCGCGGGATCCATTCGACGATTAGTCGAGTGCCGAGCTTCATGCAGATACGGATAATGTCCTTGCAGGCGGTGGTCAGGTCGGGGGTGCGGGAACCGCCTTTGCGAAGGATGAAGAAGACCCCTTGGTTGTCCACCCTTACGAGCACGTGTTTTTGTTGGACCTTGTTCGCATACGTTCGGATGGCCCAAAGGACACCCTCGATTTCTCGTCGGGTGCTGGACGTTGCTTGCAGTGGTGCTGGCATGGCTGCACTGGCTTCTTCAAGTTCGCCAGGGAAGGTGAGCAAAGTGGCACCCCAACTGTGGGAACTGGCGTCCACGTGGATTACAGCGTCGTAGCTATTCCGGACGTGGAATGGTGCGCCATTAAATTTGTCAAACTCCTCGAGCCAGAATTGCAACTCCTCCGCCACAGGTGGGGAAATGCTCACACTGCTTCCCCAGGACGGCGCGTCGTTGATCGTTTGTAGCATGGCGTGGCTGAACGCGCGAGTCGTAGCACCTAGCGCGACAGCCATTGACGCGAGCGTGCCCGTGATTCTGGCGAGGTGGCGGACTGGAACCTGTCGACGTGCTTTGCTTGCGCTCAATAGATTCTGAATGTGTGCATGAAGTGATGCTCGTCGATCGGTGCCAATAGAGAATTGTCCCAAGTTGGTATCCAGCTCGACGCCCAAGAATCGCAGCTGTTGTGACGGGGACAACTGTGATTTTTTCGCGTTGATCACCAAACCTGCCATCTTGAGGTCCGAGATTATCATCTGGCATGTTGCCTGTGCATGTGCCTTGGACGTGCATAAGAACAAGATGTCGTCCACGTAGGGAACAACTCGAATGCCTTGTTCGCGCCAGCGCCTGGCTAATTGTTTGATGAGTTGTGTGAAGACAAACGGTGCTGTTGCGAGGCCGAAGGGCAGTGAGCGAAAGGAGTACGTGCGCCCCTCAAATTCGAAGCCGAGGAATTTCCAGCAAGAGTGGTGTATGTCGACATGATGGTATCCGGATTTTAGGTCGATGGAGAACATCCAGTCTCCTATGCGCGCCAAGTCGGCGACGCGGCTCAATCCCTCGTATTTGAATTTCGGAATGATCAGGTGCTCGTTCACTTTCCGAAGGTCGAGAATAAGCCTGCATTTGTCACGTTGCTCGACCACGTTGAGAGGGCTGATGCATGTAAGCTCCGCTGCCGGGGTAACGACCGCCGCTCCGGTCTCCGTCAGTTCGCGAATGGCCGTGCGCGTGAATGCCGCGTGTGTGTGTGCGCCGAGATGGTTGCGTTCGTGAAACGGTTGTGGAGGGTTGTGTCTCCATGGTAGCCAGTAGCCATTGGCGATGACCGAGAGGATGAGGCTACTTGGGCACCACGAGCTCCACCATACAAGGGTTGCGCAAAGCCTCCCGCGCATTCGCGTGACGGTCTTGTCTGTGACGGCGAATTCGTACGGATCATCGTCGTCTAACATCTCCTCGCTTGTTGCCTCTGCATGTTTGCGGAGTGACAATAGGGCAGGATTGCAAATTGAGGTTCTTATGGATATGATACACATCCTTCGTGTGTGAAGGGTAGGTGCATGCGATGGGTGTATGCGCATTGACCCATTCGAATAATCATTTGTCGGCAATTACATCCGCGTTGTACGCCCTCGTTTTTTTTTTTTTTTTTTTTTTTTTTTTTTTTTTTTTTTTTTTTTTTGGCATCCCTCAACCAAAGAGCGGGTGTGAGTCTTCCCGCACGGTCATGTGATCACGAGTTGTTTTTTTTTTTTTTTTTTCATGCCTCGTGCCTTCCATTCGACTCTCCTCCCTCTCCCTCTCCTTGTTTATCTTTGGCTTGCTCCCTCTCTCTCTCCCTCTCTTTCTCTCTCTCTCTCTCTCTCTCTCTCTCTCTCTCTCTCTCTCGCTCTCTCTCTCTCTCTCTCTCTCTCTCTCTCTCTCCCCCTCTCTCTCCATCTTTTTCTCTCTCACACACACGTGCGCACACACACAAATTCTCCTTTGTTCTTGCTCTTGCTCACCCTTTAGTCGGGTCATGCTTCTTGGCCCTTTGGCCAAAGCAATGGTTGCACGTCCGATGAGTGCAAAGGTCATTGATTGGGGTCATATGGTAAGTGTCATTGCCATTCTTTGCTCCGCCCTCTCTCCTTGTCTCTTCTTCTTCCGCTTATTCTCTCTTTCCTCCCCCCCCTTTGCTTTATTTATTATTTTTTTTTTTTTGTCACACCATGAGCCAAGTCAAAAAATTCTTCTTTAATAAATCCGCCCGTATATAAACCGGGCCATACATTGCCATGCTCCTAGCATGCCTTCGCCCCTACCGCATGGGCTACTACCAATGGGCCAAGAGGTTTTTGCTCCCTCCCCCTCATCCTAGGCCTCTAGCCTATTAATCACCCCTAACTAGGGCTGGCCAACCGCCACCGCTAACCCCTTTGGGTTGCCCACGGTCTTTGCACATGACGTGCACCGTGCCACGCGCACAAGGCGTCATCGCTCAAGGCCCGCCCCTACACCACGGGTGCGGGTCCTTGGCCACCGTTTCCGTTTCTCGGGCAGCCACTTGCCATGTGACCCGGCTGGCCACAACGGAAGCACGCCCCACGGAAGCCATGGAAGCCACCCGTGGGCGG